CTTGCTCGGTGGAAGAAGCGAACGTTTTATCATTCTCACACATTCCAGGTGATGAAAAATGACATTTTTTTTATAGTTTTTGTGTTTTTTTTTATAGATTTATGCCTGTTTTTACTGATTTATGGCTATATTTTGGGGGCACAAAGGCTATGGATCTTGAAGAAGTGGTAAAGGATGAAGACAGTGAGGATGAAATTAATGAGGGCGCTCGAGTGATTGAAGATAGAAGAGTATAAGTCATTTTCTGTTTTCAATTTCTTTAACTCTAAACAACAAAATCAGTTATGTTTTGAGGAATCATTATTAACTGAGAAAATTGATATACAGAAACTTGAGCTTCTTGGTCTTTCTGAGGATCAGAAACGGTTCGTAACTATGTGGACCTCATTTGTTAAGAAACATCGGTAAGTTGTTCTTGTTTTGATTCAAATCCTTTACTTTTTTTTGGATTTGAACTTGTTGCTTTTGGATTTCTACTTTCTGGTATCTGTAATTAATTTTGTTCTTGTGGCAGTGTGCTGGTAGATGGCCATATGAATTGGGCATACGAAGTTTTCACAAAATATCATTGTGCTGAGCTTGTCGATTCCACCCCATTAGCCTGGTAACTAGCATCACTTCTGTGTTTTCCATGTTCTAATTTTTTTTACCTAATTCTACACTTTTCATCATTTTGTAAGCCTCTTTTATATATATCTTTCGAAATAATCTCTATTTTTCTTGGAATAGAGCTTCCTAAACAATTTTTGTTCTGCATATTTTGATTTTCATATAATATATATTATTTCATTTTGGCAGTTTTTGTGGCTTTACTTATAATTGTGAAATGAATGATTTGGCAGGGCTTGGAGATTGTTTATGATAAAACTATATGATATGGGTCTTCTAAAGCCAAAGACTGTGGCTGCATGCGCTGCCATTCTTCAACAATACAGGGAACAGAAATAAGATCCAAAAGCTAAGGCCTTTCCTAACCCTTTTTCAAAATAAAAGAAACAAATGAGAAAGAAAAAAACTTCTCTTTGTTGTACTTTACTACTTTCCAACTTTTAATTGCTATCTTTGTTGTACTATTACTACCTTCCAACTTTCAATTGCTCCTTTGTTGTGTGGAGCTGAAGCAAGCTATCAGTTTCATGTATTTTCTATTTATTTCTGTTTCATATATTTTCTGTTTATTTCTGTTAACAGAGATTTTCAGGTTCACATTTTCAATTTATGATTCAAATTTAGTAAATTTACCATTTGTTTCGACTATATATGCTCACATTTTCAATTCATGATTCAAAGCTCATATTTTCAATTCATGATTAAACTCAGTAAATTTAAATTCAGTAAATTTAAATTCAGTAAATTTACTATTTGTTTGGACTATATATGCTGTGAATACAATGTTTAATTTTGTTTGGACTATATATGCTGTGAATACAATGTTTAATTTCGTGACTGAGATTCTGCCTTGGAAAATTCAGTTCCTGCAAAATAATGTATCTTGATTTAGCCTATGATTATCCCGTCTCTTATCATTTCGTCACATATTGGATAAGTATGTCATACGTCTCTTACATCATTTATGTGTATTTCTCGTTAAAACATTTCTATCTCCTTTTTATGACGTCTCTTACACCACAAACTATATTTCATTGAACCTATTCTCCCATTTTATATACCAACAATCTCTTGAGTTATACATATTGTTTCACTTGGCTATTCCAACAAAACAAGGATTTCCCAGCGAACACTTAGAATTTGTATTTTTTTAAAAATAGGAATAAAGAAAAGGGGAGTTTTTCTACACAACAGGTTTTCTTCCTGCATTCTTTTGACATTAATCCCGACCCCGACCCCAATATAATATAAAGTATAATATAAAGATAGATAGTTTAATATAATATAAAGATATATACCCGCTATCGATAATTTAATATAAGGATATATTTTCAAGCTATGCATTTTTATAATCTCATTAAAAAATTAGTCACCATGATTCAAAATAGTTGTTTTAATTCTATCAAAATAAATCAAATTTGTTTTTCAAAATGGGTCATGAGAATGGTTAAAAACAATTTTAAAGCTAAAGAAAGTATATATATATATATAT